CGAAGAAAGATCTGGAACTAATGAGATTTTCAGAGATCTGCAAGAATGACAGCAACTAGCATTAAGGCTATTTTAAATGCCCTCCCCTGATAATGAGATTGATGACTCCCTTATATGCCATCCTAGAACCCTTCATACAGTGACTGACAGAAGCAGAGTTAGACACCCACAGCTAAAAATCAAACTGAGCTCCTAGAACCCAGCTGCAATGAGGAGTAGGAATCAAGACCCAGCTAGCAAAGCCCACAGAGGCAGCTGACCTAAACTGGGGTAATGCATGAACCCCAGAATGATGACTGAGAGGTCTGATTCAGACCCCCTTTAACCTGGGTTTCAGAGAGGAGGCCTCAACAATCTATGGGGCCTTGGATAGTAGATCAGTGTTTATCCCTGACACACAAATGGACATTAGGAGTCCTTTTCACATGGAGGGAGGCTCTTTCAGCCTGTACACATGGGGGAGGGCCTAGGCCCTGACTGGGATGATATAACAGACTTTGAAAATCCCCCATGGAAGGCCTTACCCTCCCTGGGGAGCAGAGGGGGTAAAGTGGGGGGTTGGGAGGTTTGCAGGGGAGGGGGAGAAGGGGATGGAGAGGGATCTGGGAGTAACACATGTAAAAAGTTGAATGAAAAATTATTATAAAAATAGTGATAGACAGAAAATACTTAAATCTGTGTTTAGAGTTAAGAGAATAATCCATAAATATACTCATATTTCACTAAGATGAAACTGATAGCATGGATCACTAAAAAGTATGTCATCATTAAATATGACTCTGAACAAACCAGGCAGACGAAAAGCATGAGTCACAAAATTCAGTCTTGAGTCTCTAAATCCTCCAGTGTTTCCTAAAGCTGAAATGCAAAGTTACTACTAAATAAAGTAAGGTCTACACCACTTCTCAGCCAGATCAAGGTAAGGAAGAACTGAAATCCACCATCTGCTATGTGAGCAAGAACATGAGGACACTGGGCCTTTCCAAAGTTCTTCCATGAAGGATAACAGTGCCCTGTTTCAAAAAGACAAACAGAAAGAATGAAAGAAAGAGAGGATTTAGGAGGGAGGAAAGGAGCAAGTAAGAAGAGAAGGAAAGAAAGGAGAGAAGAGGGAACAAGGGAGGGAGAAAAGGAAAAGAGAATGAGAAACTGAAATGTAGGCCACACCTTGAATGCCAGGATTTAGCAGTCAGAGGCAAGAAACTGAGATCAGTCTGGGCTTATGAAAAACAAATGAAACCTCAAGAAAAGCATCTCAGAAGCAAACACTATGAAGTGTCAGGGTGTGCAAAGACAGACTGCCTCCAAGACAATCAGGCCAGGTACTGTGATATTGATGCAGGTGGGGCAGAAACAGACAAGGATTTCTTGTAAGCAAAATAGACTGGTAACACCAATTAAAGGTAAAGCAGAGTGCTAAGAAGAGAAAGAACCATTTGTACACAGTGTGAACTAAAATGTCTATCCAACAAACTATGAGATCTCACTGCTACACAGCAAGAACTGTTTGTGCCTGAATGTGTTTGAGAAAGGGAGAAAGTGGGGAGAAGGGAGACAGGGAAGAAGGGAGATGTAGATACTAAAAGGACGGAGGGAGAGAGAAATAAGAGATGCAACATTAATATAGGAAGAGATTGTCGGAAGAGCAGCTTAGGTGCAGGAAAAGCCCTTCTGTCAGAAGCTGGAACATTAGGTGGATGTTAGGAGAGAGCTTGCAAAGGTTCAGAGCAGAGAGCAGACATGGCAAGAGCCTTCTTCAAAGTAAGGTGTAGAACTCACTGAGGTCTGTGTCCTCAGTATCTCCTCCCACAGAGTTTAGTTTGGAATCCTTGGCAGTGTCAGATTCACATCAATGGGATCACACATACAGGATCACACCCACAGAATCACAGTTACAGAATCATACCTACAGAAACCTACAAAAACTGAAGATTTTTTTCATGAAAGTAAAATGTTGTTTTAAAAATATATATCCTGTCAACAATTTCTTTAAAAAATATTTATTTATTGTACAGTGTGTTTTGTTTGAATGAATGTCTGTATATCATTAGTCCCTGAGGCATGTGGATGCAAGAAGACTGCATAAGATGTTTATGAGTCACAATGTGGATACTTAAAATGAACCTGAGTCCTCTGGAAAGGCTGCCAGTAGTATTAACTGTTAATCTATCTCACCAGCTCTTGTCAAAGATTTAATTTAAACATTGTCATGTTAATTATATGAAACCATCTCCAAGGAAAAAATAAGATTGAAATATATTGTGCGAATTTTATTAAAAACATAATAAACCTCAAAGTTAAGGGGCTTCCTTTAGCCAAACTGGGGTTGACTTAATACTTAGAATAAAGAAGAATAGTATTAGAGACCATTGTACAAAATAGGAACTAATAAGAGAAACATTTTCACACAGAATTTCATGTCAGCTTTTGAAGTAATTAACACAAGAACAGGAGTTACTAAGTCATGTGACAACTGGTTGTTAGAGATAGAGAGCAGGAGAATAATGGCACAATACCGAACTGTTTTCACTGAGAGAATATTAATAAGCCACAAAAGGAAAATCTTCAATTTCATATCATATAATCCAACAACTGTCAGCATGATTAAAAGATCAAGATTCAAGCCAGGGAAATTAGGTAGCCCAGTGGGTAAAGGAACTTACTGCCAAGTCTAAAGACCTGATTTCAGTCCCTGGAACCTACTGTGTGGAAGCAGAAAAGCAAGTCTCTGAAGTTTTCTTCTGACCTCTAAAGGCATGCTATAAACATACACACACACACACACACACACACACTAAATGTATGAAAATTTTGAAAATATTCCTATCATGGAGGGTGCTCTTCCAGGTGTTGGGGACCAAGGACAACACAGCATGTCAGGGCCTGAGTCTGCTCACAGAACACTAGGAGAAACCACAGGTAAGATTACTCCAGGCAATGCATTAAGACTAGCCATGGAATGAGAAACAGAGATCAGGAGAAGTGTTCCATACTGGAAAATGAACAAGAACTTGATCTTAGAGTATCCTGAATCAGACAGCAACAGACAGGGCAAGTGGTGACACATGGGGAGTTTACAGACTTGAAGGTGCAAGGCCCCAGTTGATGACTTCCTCACTGGGAAAATACAATGATGGAGAGATCTTGACTGTGGAGTGTAATGAGCATTCTTCCAATCAGGCTGGTCCCAGAGCTGCGTCAACCCCAAATAATACACACAGACTCTATTTGTAACAATGCTGTGGGACAATGTCCAGGACTTCTTATTGGCTAGTTCTGTCTTAAGTATTAACCCATAACTACTAATCTATGTATTTTTATATGAACTAATCTTTTTTTTTTTTGATTTTCACGAAAAAAGGGTTTCTCTGTATTGTTTTGGAGGCTATCGGTCCAGCCCGGCCTCGAATTCACAGAGATCCGCTTGCCTCTGCCTCCTGAGTGTTGGGATTAAAGGTGTGCGCCACCACCACCCGGCACTATATGGACTAATCTTAATGAGGATTCCAGCCTAATGATTCCTTTCTTCCTCTGTATCACATGGCAACACTTGACTACATTTCCCAGAATCCTCCTTGACTCCAAGTCCCACCTATATTGCTTCCCTATTGGCCAACAGTGCTCTATTTACAACCAATAAGACAATCATATACACAGAAGGACTTCTCCCATCAATGGAGGTACAGGCAGGAGTGTTTAAGGCGATGGACAATGATGTCAGAACCAAAGTACAGGGGGAAGAAAAGAAAGACAGATAGCATAGTAGTTTCACTGCCAGGAGCATAGGTCATGGGAATGGGTTAGACTTTATATGGTTCTTGGGGTTCTTCAGTCAGTTTGGAACTCTTATTATATTTTAAAATGAAAAAAATTTAATCTTTACACTTAGTTCTATAACTGTTTCAGCCACAGTCTTCTTTCTTGAGAGAAGGAAATGCCATTTCTTTTCCTTCATCCTTCCCTAGGTTCAGGGCTCAGACCTTAGGAAACCAGGGTTAATCCCAGAGATGATTCTTTTTATTCTATATTTGGTTGTGATCCTAGCCTTTAATGGCTGAGCTATCACTCCAGCCCTTTGAAAGTACCCAGAACCCACCATTTTCAATTGAAAGAACCCCACACCTCAGACTCCTGCTGACATTTTCACATCCCATGGTGCAACTGTATATCCTTCTCCATGATGCATTGCTCTGATCTAAACTCAGAAGCCTTCCCAAATTCCCACCATGGAAATCCTTAGTCCTTACAGTGACTCAGGTGGTCTAGGCAATCTATACCCAACCCACCCAATGGTGCTCACTGCAATTGGGAATGTGGAGGACTGAATTGTGTCCTTCCAGAGACTCATTTGTGGCAGACCTCACAACTAAGAACTTAGAATGTGGCTGTAATGAAGACAGACTCTTTAAAAAGGTAATAAAATTTACATGAGATTACTAGTATGTCCTAATGTAACTGGTGTCCATTTAAGAGACCAGGGCATAAACACACGAAGAGGTAAGAGACACCATTTACAACTCAGTGACCAAGGCTGCAGCAGACACATCCTTTCGATACCTTAATGCCTGACTCCCCAATCCAGAACTGTAAGAAATTTAACTTCTATCAAGTCACTCAGTCTGTGGTATCATTGGCAGTACATTAGGAACTTTCCTTCCCCTTTAGGTCACTGGGTTCCAGTCAACTTGGTCTTGTTAATGTTCCAGACCCACCAAACTGCTTTGCCTCAGAACCAATGAGTTTTCCCTCCATCCAGAACTCTGTTAAGCTCTCACCCACTCACCCCCAGCTCACATATCACATGCTTGGGTGTCATGGGGACACGCTGTTTAAAGCAGTGCTCCACCTTCACAACTCCCATTTTTCCCTATGCTTTTCTCTCCTTGTTCTCAATGTGTATTCCTTGATAATGGAAGTTTCCCTCTAATAAATGAGGAAAGAAATTCTGTGTAAGTGCCCAGGTATTGAGTGAACAAAACTAATGTTCTTTTGGCACTTACCTTCTCAGGACTGAGATGACATCAATAGCAGCTATCATGTCTAAGCCAGTGGTTGGGTCATCCAGAAACAAAATGGGATGCTCAGTGACCAGCTCCATTGCTATACTGGTCCTCTTCCTAAGCTCCTTAGTTCTAGGCTAAAACACCAACAACCATCATTATCAACAAGGACAACCACAGTCAATGTCATTTGGTGAACTAGCTGGTCCCAGCAATAAAAGGTTTTGTTATATCAGTATCCTGAGGAGCAGACTGTGGGCATCTGGGAGAAGAAGGAGGACGTTCCTTTTTTTCCAAGGGAGTAGAAAGAGACTTAGGTTAGAGTTTACATGAAGTCTGTGACAATTACTGTTTATTCTTTATCAAGTCACATATTCGAGGGCAATGAATTTATCAAAGTCCCAGATTGGCAAAGGGAATCACTGTCTAAGGAATGAGGATGACAGGACATCAGAAGATGAAGTATCTCTCATAATTAATAGACATTTACAACCCTCCCAACACACACACACACACACACACACACACACACACACAGAGAGAGAGAGAGAGAGAGAGAGAGAGAGAGAGAGAGGGAGAGAGAGAGAGAGAGAGAGAGAGAAGCATTCCTGAAGCTGAGCAAGGACACACACACACACAGACATTTTTTGAAAGTTATTATTTAAAAGTTATATTGAAAATTTTCCATAAAGTTAGTAAATACTTTTATATGTTGTCCATTAAAAACCAATAAGTAATTTAGGACAATGACTACTTATTCTTAAACATAGAAAAGAAAGTATCTTATTTATCTTATAAATATAAACCAACATTAATAGACAGAGGCAAAGCACACAAAATTCCTTCACTTGTGAAAAAGGAAAAAGTGGTAAAAGTCAGCTTTTTTATTATTCTTCCCAACAAGACAAACATCTCATAAATGACTGTGGAGAGGTATCATGGGAGTCAAGCGAGTATTTTCCTGTTCCTTACTGCCTCTAAGGTGCAGCCAGCACAGAAGTTAATTTGTGGTGATGTCTTTCTTTCACAAATAAAGCCTGTATGTAGGTCAGAATGAAGTTTGTCACTAGCTAACCATAGAGGTTTGGAGGTCTGAACAGACAGGCAGGAAGTGACATAGCTGGGCAGTAATGGTATATAAGCAGGAACAAACAGGAAATCGCTCTCTTCTCTGTGGAGACACTTAGGAGGTAAGGTGTGCTGTGGCTTGCTCTTTCTCTCTGATATCTCAGCATTTCCCTCTATATCTGTCTCTGGCAGTTTAATATCTAGACCAATTAAGGACTCCTTTTAAATATATCCATGAGAGTCCTAGTCTGGAGAGACCATTTTCACCTGTACCTCCCCTGTCTGCTCAGCAGACATCTGCATATAATCTTCTCAATGGGACACAAGAAGAAGGAATCAATCTTGATATTATAATCTCTAAGATTATGACAAATACTTATCAGATTCTACCAAAACATAATAATAAGAACATTTGGGGAATGTGAATGGTTATAGCCTTGATAGGGCTATGGATATCAAGAATTTGTTCATCTTGATAGCTAAGAATGAACGTGTTAAGATAAACAAATGTCCTTGTTTTTTAAAAGTTAAGAAAAAATTAGTATTCAGGAATACAGGATTGCATGATATTCTCATAAAAATGTCAGTAAGAAACTAGTTAGATGTGAGGTTTACCACTTGTCTATTATCCCTCCTGATTCTGCACAAATCCTCATAGGAGTCACCAGGTCCATTAGTTGTCGCTCTTGCCAATCTGTATCATTAACACCTAACACAGGAAATGACAATAAATGTTGACAAAAGAAGCAGAGAGTGAGGGCAAAAGTATATCCTAGGCTTCCATCTACTTGCTAAGATAAAATGATCTTACAAAACAGAAACAAGGAGTGAGGGGATTTATCTCTTCACAGTTCAAAGGTATAGTCCAGCATTGCCAGGAAGACAAGGCAGGAAGCTGATGGAGCTGGTTACATCCAGTCAAGAGTACAGAGGATGAATGCATGCATGTCTGTCAGTGCTCAACTCACTTTCTCCATCCTCATGCCACCCAGGACTCATACCCAAAGAATGATGTGCTGGGTCTTTTCACATCTCTTAACTTAATCAAGACAATCACATACAGAAATGCCCTCAAGGCAACCTGACTACAATTCCTTGCAGAGACTCTTCTAAGCGATTCCATGAGATTCTAGACTGTGTTGACTTGTCAGTTAAAACTAGCCACTACAGACAGAATGAAATAAAAACACAGAGAGAAAGGATACAGGAAACAACATTCACCAAACAAGTAAAAGTAAATGCTAAAGATAACCAGTAAAACCCTGAAGGGAAATGAATGCAGTGTGAAACACAGAGCCAGAGTCCTCCATCTCATGTCCTATGTCAGTCCAGAAATACAATCTGAAACAACGAAGGAGCAGGTGTTGCAGAGAAAGAGACAAGAAACAGAAGAAAGCACCTGTCAGATTCTATAAAGAGTCAAGAGTTTAGGGCTGAAGGAAGAGAAGGCTCATGTGAGGAAGACACAAAAATGGTCATGTGAGGAACATTTTTTCCTGCAGGATCAACTCTATTCCCAGCCTTTACTATTGCTAGAAGGTTTCCCAGGTTAATCTCCTCTTTACATCATCATATAACCAGTCACTCACTCATATACACAGAGAGCAAGCCACCTTGACCACACACATTATAGGAAACATATTATCCACACAGTGATTTTGTTTTTTTGCTCTGAGTCTTTCAAGATTTTTCTTCACATTACCTTGACATTTGACTTCCCATCCAGATGTAGAAGTTCAAGGACCTCATTAATTCTCCTTCTTTTCTCATCTCTTGGCATAGACATGGGAAGTCGAAGAGCTGCTGAGAACTCTACATTCTCTCTCACAGTCACCGTGCGCATCACCACATCTTTCTTAAGAATAAAAGTAATTTTAATCATAGTTATCATGAAGACAATTACTCTAACAAATGTAACCTAATCTTCATATAAACAGTATCTAATACTCTACTGAAAAATAGTCTTCTAATGTTACTAGTTTCAATCACAGAGCCTGATGCAATCATTTTCGCCCCCCTCCCATATATCTTCGAAGTAGAGCTCAGGGATTTTGATGACTGATACCTCCAATTATTTGCAGAAAACATCTAAGCTGTGGAGAAAAATGGAGGAAGGGCAAGGCTGGACAACAGCAGTCCTTTATAGAATTAAATCATAGTTGTAATTACCAATACTGTACCACAGATGTTATATTCTGTCCCCTCCCCATCTTCCTATTTAATAATGCCAGCCTCAGGCTAATGAATAATTAGGAAAAGCTGGTGTAGAGAAAGTTCAGCCTATAAATGTGTCATATAATAACTGGAAACACACAAATCTACAAGCTGCACATCTAACCATACAGAGGCAGAGGAAATCTAAAATTACAAACCCACCAACACTTACTTGTGGGACATAACCAGACGTACATTTGAAATTAGCAGGACGAGGTTCTCCATTTATCAAAATATCTCCCGATAATCCACGTGGATCTTTCCTTCCAGCTAAGACATTTAGTAACCTACAGAAGGTTAAATGTGTTGTGTAGTTTACTTTCTCCCTTCTGTAACAGCTGTAACTGTTCAGCCACTCAGAATAAAAATTATTCATGTCAAAAATTTATGTGAAAACACACACATACACACACACACACCATTCTGTTCACTATGTGCTCTAATACAGACCAGAATTATGAATGCAATAAATGATCCACATGAACACCAGTCCCTTCCTGTTATCTGACCTTGGGGACTAATACAGGTAATTTGCTTCTGTTTTCTGAAAGTTAGACCTGGTGATGCTTTATGTCCCCAGCAATTTCTCTCTCATCTTTCTAATTTTAATACTATTTCCACCACACTAAATAATAATAGGACCACACACCAAATGCCAATCACTCTGTCATTTTCCATCAGGAAAGTGACCTACTAAGACTCTGATGGTGGCAGAAAATGAGAATACACCTTCCTGCACATTATACACAGCACACGGCACAGACTCACACATATCCGCTCACACAGTACTTAGATAAATCCTATAGAAGTGGTTTTATAGCAGGGAAACTGGATGCAAAGAGCTTGTACCTGCTTTCTGTTATACTCACAAAGTTCTGCTCCCGTCCTGAGGTCCCATGATGGCATTGAGGCCAGGTTTCATGATCCCACTACAGACACAAAATCAAACCGGGTGATTTTTGTATTTAAAAGTAGGTATGTTCATTTAGTGTCTACACTGAATATCCTATTATAATTTAATGAAATTGTACACAGAAAATAAGTACAAACTCATAAAATTAAAATATTGATAGAAGTCTATTATTTACAAAAGATGTCAATTGCTAGTGGGGACTGATCAGAAAATGCTTGAGATATCACAAAATCCTTTGATTATCATTTAAATGACTTTCTGAAACATGGTATATCTAAATTCAGTGCTCCTTGAAACAAATAGCTGGTGGTTATGAAGTCTCCATTACTCATACATACAGCCTGCATGTGTCAAGTATATAATAGCTTCTGGCTAATGCTTGTTTATCAGTATCTTTATGCAGCCCTGCTTGCTACTTGGTAAACCTCATCATAAGAAACCAATGAGTCATGGGATATCAGCGGCAGTATCATTACTATTAAGATAAAATCTAAAAGGCACTAGGGATAAATACTGGATTTTTAGAATGATATGAAAAATAATATTGTTTTAAAATATAGAATCAATTCAAAATCAGTTCATCTTAAGTAGAATTCCAAAGACTAGAAAGAAGCTCTCCAGAGACACGAGAGCATTTCCAAGTTTAACACTAAAAAGAAAACAAAACCCCAAATGAAAAATAGCAAACTAAACTAAAAAAAAAGAAAGAAAAAAATTAACCCACAAACAAGAAAACAAAACAAGTAATTGTAATAGAAAATCTAAATACACAAATACAAAATGATAATTTCCCTCTGCAGTAGAGATTAGATTATACGCAGTTTAGAATTGGGTGACACCCCTCATGGAGAGGACATTCTTCACTGATAAATAGGTAGAGCAAAAATGCAAGTTATGTAAGAAATATAATTGATTAATTCGGAGTTGTGAATATCCAGATTGCAAAGCCATATTATTATATTCTTATAGAAAACTTAGTTTTTTCCCATTTGTTATTTCATATACTGACAATGGGTCAATCCTTTGCCCTGCCCATTCCCCTCTTGGTAAGACAATGATGGAAGTTTTAGGTGGAGGAGCAGAAACAACCAGTGCCCAAGAACAGAGGCAACGGTTGGGGTTGGGAGGAAGAGTCTATGCTGACAGCGCTGACAAATTCTTGGTGCTCTGTCCATAGATTTGGTTGGAAGCATGGCTTCTCTATGTCATAGGACAAATGTCTGGAATGTTGGTTTTACCTTTGTAGCTTTTAATGAATTTTGAACAAATATATGAGGACTCAGACTTTCTGCTTTTAGATTTCCTCATTAATTACATCTCATCAGTTGAAACTATCCCAGTCAGCCTGTTATAAACTCCGAAGTCTATTTTGGGAGTGCATATGTGTATAGACCGATACACAAATCTTTTATATATTCAAATTTCTAGATAATAAATTTTCAGTATATCATCATCATCCTTTGGTTTTAACAGGGCATCTTTGACATTATATTTTCATCCCTACTTTTATTGAGTTAAAATAATTTATCAGGCTTTTTAATAATATGTCTAAGGAATTGCTTGTGTTCAAAGAACCATTTTTGTCATTAATATATTATATTGTTCTTTTAATCTCCATATCATAATTTCACTCTGATCATGACTCTATCTGTATGTATGAGAAATGAGGCTAGGGGAATGTTCAGTGTGTGAAGCACTTGCTGTGCGAGGGTGAGGACCTAAGTTAAACATCCAGAATTCACATACAGTTGAGAGCAATAGTGGGTACCTATAAGTAAGGTGGGAGACATAGACAGGAGAATCCCAGGACTCTTGCAGGCTGCTAACCTGGCATACACTCAGTGAACAATGAGAGACTCTGTCTGCTACAGGATAGAAGGTGAAGATCAATGCTCAAGGTTGTCCTCTTATAGCCTTGTGCCATGATGTGTCATAGCTTCTATACATCTACATATGTGAACATGCACACATATACAATTATATACACACATTCACACACAGCTTCCGTATAATAAAGTCTGAGTTTGTTGAAAAAGTTGTTGAATACAGTGTTCCCTTTAGTTGACGTACATACTTAATATTTGATAATCTTTCTGTCACATGTGTTCTTTTACGACATAGAAAGCCACTCTGCACTGTTTCTCGATAGCTGATGTTATGAAAACTTAACACAGCCTCTCCAGTCAATGTGTTCAGGTCACTGGTGTCCATTCCAGGAAGGCCATTGGGATTTCTTTCTATCATTGGGGTTGTAACAGCATCATTGTTGGACGACATCTTGAGAGGTTATTCTTTCCTGTAGAGGGAACAGTAATAGTAAGATTTTGGTGCACACAAACAACATTATGACCCAGCACAGCACACTTACAGATTGTATTAAACTGCAGCCACAGGCAGATTCCTTCCTGATGAACAATACATATCACTGAGATTACCTGAGGACCCAATGAGAAGTAGACATAATTGAGTACATAGACTTACTTTAGACACCAAATTCCTAAGAAACAAAGGAGCTGTAATGAGTAGAATATAAATGTTGTTATTCATAATTCATAATGAAAGGAAGGAACAGATGAGGGGGCAATTTGTCTTACTTCAAAAGCATATTATGATATGATATAAATTCAGAGGTAGAATACATGACCACAATTAACACATGTCCTGATGTGCATATGTTTCTCTCTCTCTCTCTCTCCCCTCTCTCTCTCTGTGCATGTCTGTGTGTGTGTGTGTGTGTGTGTGTGCATGTGTGATTATGGGGTATAACATAATAATAAGTGGGACTTGCACAGTCATCAGGAGAAATTTCTGACTATTTCCAGCTTCAGACTGCTCCTCTGGTCATTAGGCATCTGCAGACAGACAAGGGGATACACTGCTGGCAATGACGTCATTAGTGCTGTAATGGGCAAGGTGAAGATCTAGGAAGACTTAGATTTTAAAATGATACTGACTAGGAACACCACATCAGTAAGTAGCTAAGCAGCATAAGAAACTCAAGGAAAAACGTTATCAATGGAATTTAAAAGTCTCATTTCACAAGATGTTAATATCTGCTTTAAAGTAAGACTTTTAGTGAACTAAGCTTGTGAAACAGTTTAAAACACCATCTTCAACAGAGCTAGTTTTTCCTTTTGATAGCTGACATCTAGGGTGGTGAGCACCTGCCTGTGAGAGAGCAGCCACTCAGAGAAGCCTTCTCCAGGAACAACCTTAAAGAAGACATTGTAGGCAGCAACTGTGTGAAGAACTCCGATGACAGCAACCAAAGTAGCCAGGGCTGCAGGGACAGCAGCAATGAAGCCAACCCAGATGCTGCTGCCTTCCCTCCTGCCATCAGCCCCAAACCACCCAAGTGCAGAGCAAATCCAGAAAAGCCAAGTATAGTAACTGGACTTTGTGGGGCTTCAGTTGGATCTAGCGAACTTGCCAAATTCTTAATTGAGAGGGCACATGTTGACTGAGAAACGGCATGTAAAGATGTTAAGGGAAAAATAGGAATATGTTTACCTCAAGATCCAGTATTTCCTCTCCTCGGCATATACCCAAAGAACGCACATTCATACAGCAAGGACATCTGTTCAACTATGTTCACAGCAGCATTATTTGTAATAGCCAGAACCTCAGAGCAACCTAGATGCCCCTCAACTGAAGAGTGGATAGAGAAAATGTGGTATATTTATACAACTGAGTACTACTCAACAGGAAAAAACAATGGGATCTTAAAATTTGCATGCAAATGGATGCCACTAGAAGAAACCATCCTAAGTGAGGTAACCCAATCACAAAATGACAAACATGGTATGTACTCACTCATATATTGATTTTAGACATAGAGCAAAGGATTATCAGCCTACAATCCATACTGCCAGAGGAGATAGGAAACAAGGAAAACCCCAAGAGATAAATGCATGTTTCCCTGAAGAAGGGGCAGGGAACAAGAACCCCTGAGTAAATTAGGAGCATGTGGGAGAGAAGACAGATGTTGGAAAGGGAGAGGGTGAAAGGGGACTTGGGGAGGAGAACAGGAGGACTGAGATAGGGGAGGAATAGAGGAGGGCAAGAAAAGAGATGCTTTCATAGAGGGAGCCAGCACAGGTTAGAAGAGAGGTCTGGCACAGGGGAAATGTTAAGGCATTCAGAGGGATGACCCCAACTAAGAATCTAGACAGTTATGGAGTAGCTGCCTTTGATGCCTCTATACTGAGATTGGTGACTACCTTGGTTACCATTCCTAGTAGCTAACTGAAGCAGAAACAGGCACCCACAGATAAACACTGAGCCATACTTCTGGAATCCAGTTTCGGAGAGGAAGGAGACATGAGAAAAGATACCAAGGCGGTGCTGGAGAAACCCGCAGAATGAGAACACAGAGACCCTAGTCATAAAGCTGGGGAACCAGTATTGGGCCCAACCAAGACCTCTGAATGTGGGTGCCAGCTAGGAGGCCAAGGCCGTCTATGGGACTTCTAACAGTGGAACCAGTGTTTATTCCTAGATCACAAATGGACTTTGGAGGACTTTCCCTATGGAGGGATGCTATTGCAGCCTAGATATGGGAAGGAGAGCATGACAGACTTTGCTGATCCCCCATGGAGGGCCTCACTATCCCTGAGGAGTGGGTGGGTGGTGGGCTGGGGGGTGGGTGGGAAGCAGGGGAGGATGGGAGGGACAGGGAATGGGGAGATGGATAAGAGTGCCACTAAAATAAATTTTAAAAATGAAAAAAGAAAAAGAAAAAAGATAAAGACAGAGACAACGGATGGAGTCTGGTAGGTACTCCAGTGAATATTGAATGTCCCAAGTGTATTCTTCAACATTCCTACTGAAAGACCCCGGCCCAGCACAGGTGGCTGAGGCCTATGGAAAATTCCTTTCCCCCACAGCTCGGCCGAATAGTCATTTTTTGATCAGAAAGAAGCTCAGCTCAAGGTCTTTACAGCTGAATAGTCACTACTATCTCTGTCCAGGCAGGACACAGGTGTCTGCTATCTGCATAGCGTCCGCATAGCCAGCCCAGCAAGATTGGGCAGGCACAGAAACCTTTTGTTCTTCAGATAGGGCCAAGGCCGAGAATTGAGTTCTGAGAGAAACCTTAATTGCCTCTCTGTCCAGATAGGGGCACAGGTGTCTATGGTCTGCATAGCCAGCCCAGAAAGATTGGGCAGGCACAGAAACCTTTTGTTCTTCAGATAGGGCCAAGGCCGAGAATTGAGTTCTGAGAGAAACCTTAATTGCCCTCGTTCTGAGCCCCAGCCTCATTTAAATTACCCAATCAGGGTCCCGTAACTAGGCTTCTCGCTTCTGTACTGCGCTTTTTGCTATAAAAGAACCCCTGAGTCCCCAGCTCGGGGCTCTCAGTTCCCGAGACTGAGATGCCCCGGGTACCCGTGTATTATCAATAAAGCCTCTTGCTGTTGCATCCAAGCTCGTGGTCTCGGTGTTCCTTGGGTTCGGGTCTCCCTCCCGTGAAAGTCCCCCGCCTGGGGTCTTTCACTACATACCCCAATCAAAAAGGAGAACATGGCAAAAGACTTCTTTATCAAGATACAAGGAAGAAAGAAACCTTCCTTAATTCTCCAAACATTTGGTAACCACACTTTAGACTCAATTTATCGTTTATCAAAAATTTTAAAGTCCAGCTTCTAGGGTTTTTGCTCAGGATTCAAAAAAAGACACTACAAATAAGTGAAGGAACTAAAAGCGCAGGGAAAAAGGAATTGACTCACACACAATTGCTCCTCTGCATGTTCTTCTAGTCTTCCTTTTCTCTGCTGCTCTTGCAGTTCTCTGTTTCTCTTTGTCTGTTTCTGTCTCTCCCCAGTTCTTGGGGTTACAGGTATATATACATATTTACAACAGTAATTCTTTTTACAACACAATGTGAAGCTTGACTTTCTCAGGGTCAGCAAGGCACATAAGATTTACACAAAGGGCAGTAAACTACAACTGCTAGGAGAAACCTTTAGCATCAGTTGCTTAGGGCTGTAGGTCAAAGAGAGGGTTTAAGTTTAATTTGCACAAGAAACAAAACCTGGAACCCTGCAGTGCTCTAGCCTCAGTGGCAGCACAGGCCTTTTGGAAGTTTACTCCCTCCCTCCCCCTCCAGGATGAGCAAAGGGGCTGATTAGCTTTGTCATTGTCTTCTCAGGAGAAACAGGATGAGACAGTACATCTCTGAGCTAAAATCTTGAGTTAATAAAAAAAAGTTTGAGAGTCTTTTACTGTAGTGTGAGTTTACATTATTGCTTCTCTGTCTCCCAGTGAGGTAAAATCAGGGTATGCTTATTTTTGATTTCCATCTAGGCAGCTATGAACCAATAACTTTGGGTGTGCAGCAATTCTATGTCCTTGGATACCTGGGGATGTCTTAGATGGGATGCTTTTGTCTGGGCCCTAAACACTGACCAAATAATTGTATTAAAGATAATTGCATGAAGGTAGATCTCTGCAATTACAATCAAGAGTTGATTAAGGACCTGAGAGAGGGAAATGGGTCTCAAACATAGCTGAGGAATGTAATCAGTAAACTGGGACTTGTTATTGGAGAACAGATCTTTACACATAGCTAGGGAGTTTAGTCAATAAAACTCCAAGTGCATGGGAGAAATTTGTTCCCAGTAAATGATCATATAGTGCTAAACTGTGGGATATAAATACCAAGTTTGTTACAGAAAGGATTAACCTACAGGAAGAATCTACAGCAAGAAACAGCCACCTCATTCACAAGATTATAATGCCAAGTACAGCTCTTATAATGGTTTCATCCTTCATGGCAGTCCTAAATTTTTCTGACTTATCTGAATTATATGATAGCTGTATAATTACTGTGTGATCTTGTGGCTTTTAGAACTCGTTATCTGGCTTGAGAGTCAAGAATAGCCACACCTCATAACAAGTCTCTTGTTATTTAGACAAGACATCCATGAATTTAATTAAGACATCCATGATCAACGTCAAACATCCTACAGTAGCCACGCCTTAGACCCTAACCAATGACTGTTACCTTGGAGGAGTAAGGATACTTTTGAGCTCTCTGCCTTAGGCCAAGATGAAGGGGAGCCATCTCTGTGGGCCCCGACAGGCAGGAATGCAAAACATGGTAAACACATCTGCCCAAAGTCCTGTTATTCCAGGAAAATAATTGCCGTCTGTGACCAGGCAAACCTGGAGCCTCAGAACAATGGCATGCTCTAAACAATGGGCCTTGAGATCCAGAAGGCTTAGGCTTTGAGAATTCAAACAAACCAAACCATAAGGCCAACCTCTGCAACATC